GTTTGTTGTACTAATAGAGACAAGCACAGAAAGTCTCTCAGTTCTGGGAAGACTTGATAATAACCAGCTGATTTCATGGTTCACCATTCCTACATCAGGGGCAACTGACATTCAAGTTCTGGAAACTCACCAATGATGGTTGCCATGCATACAATAAACGTAACATTATGCCTAAAGATCTAGATAAAAACTGCAGTTTAATGTCAAGGCAGTTGCTGATTTCTACTTTCATGATTGTCAATTTAAAGTACATTCAGGCTTAATATATTTTCAGCATTAGAAAGTTTAGTAGGAGTAACATTTGCAACATGACACTGCACAAGTGAGAAACATGCTGTGACTGACCAATAACCCCTACAATAGAACAAGGCTCAAAGAAGATGGGAAAGGGTGATGTGCTCACAAAGATCACAGAACTATGCCACAAGTTGCAAGTGACCACAGCTGCTCTAAGGAAAGCTGTGCAGTGAAGAAACAGCTATGTCAGTTCAATGGATCAACTGATGATGTAAATGTGTCAAATGTGTTAAAGTCTCTCTAAGTTACTGGCGGAGTGCGGCTCAGCCCAATATAGACTATATAGTAGCAAATTCAACCTACATATGCCTTCCCAATGACTGGGGGCAGAGCATCATAATGGTGATTGTGTTACAGATATCAATAATGGGTATGACACTGGTATTGTGACTGAACTGTGTATTGCAATTGCTATATTTCATTAAGCTTACCTTACATTTGTACTGTATTTTTGGTATATTTTCTACCAGTCTGCTAAATCAGAAGTCCTGTGTAACATCAACTGTCATCAAGTAAGTAAAGTTGATATTTACGATATCCCAAGAAAACTGGTTAATATTCAAGGACCACCTTCTCCAATTCCAGGAGCAGTGCATACCAAGAAGGAGGAAGACAGGCAAGAGTGCCAGAAGGAATGCATGAATGAACAAGGAGCTCCTGGAGTTAAATGAGTGCAAAAGGAAAATCTATAGAGAGTAGATGCAAGAACAGGTTAGCTGAGAAGATTGCAAAGAAGTTGGCCGAGCAGCCAGGGATCAGGTTAGGAAAGCTAAAGGGCAGATGGAATTAAATCTGGACAGGGACATAAAGAGAAACAAGAAGAATTTCTATAGGTACATCAGTGATAAAAGGAAGTTTAGGGAAGATGTGGGCCTCCTCCAGAAGGGGATCACGAGGGATAGAGAGAAGGTTGTAGTGCTCAACAACTTATTGGCCTCAGTCTTCACAGGCAAGGGCTCTAGCCACACCACCCAAAACACAGAAGATAAAGACAGGGACTGGGAGAAGGAAGATCCACCCACTATAAGTGAAGATTAGGTTCAATACCATGTAAAGAACCTGAAGGTGCACAAGTCCATGAGACCTGACGAGATCCATCCACGAGTCCCAAGAGAACTCTCGGATGAAGCTGCCAACATGCTATCCATCATATTTGAAAAGTCATGGCAGTCTGGTGAAGCTCCTGCTGACTGGAAAAGAGAAAACATAACCCCCATTTTCAAAAAGAGGAAAAAGGAAGACCCAGGAAACTATCAGCCAGTCAGACTCACCTATGTGCCTGGCAAGATCATGGAGCAGATTCAACTGAAGGCTCTCCTAAGGCACATAGAGAATGAAGGTGTGGTGATTGGTGGTAACCAAAATGGCTTTACAAAGACGACACCAAGCTGTGTGGTGCAGTCCACACGCTGGATGGAAGAGATGCCATCCAGAGGGACGTGGACAGGCTGGCAAGGCAGGCCCATGCCAACCTCATGAAGTCCAACAAGGCCAAGTGCAAGGTCCTGCACCTGTGTCTGGGCAATCCCCAAGCACAGATACAGACCAGAAAAGGAATGGCTTAAGAGCAGCTCTAAGGAGAAGGACTTGGGTGTGTTGGTTGTTGAAAAACCTCAGCATAAGCCAGCAATGTGTGCTTGCAGCCCAGAAGGTCAACCGCATCCTGGGCTGCATCAAAAGAAGTGTGGCCAGCAGGTCGAGGGAGGTGACTCTGCTCCTCTACTCTTCTCTGGTGAGATCTCACCTGGAGTACTGCATCCAGTTCTGGGGCCCCCAACACAAAAAGGACATCGAGCTGCTGGAGTGGGCCCAGAGGAAGGCCACAAAGATGATCAGAGGGCTGGAGCATCTCATCTGTGGGGACAGGCTGAGAGAGTTGGGGCTGTTCAGTCTGTAGAAGAGAAGGCTTCAGGGGGACCTTATTGCAGCCTTCCAGTTCCAGAAGAGGTCCTATAGGAAAGCTGGACAGGGAATTTTTACCAGGGCAGGTAGTGATAGAACGAGGGGAATGGTTTTAAACTGGAAGAGGGTAGATTTAGATGAGATATTAGGAAGCAATTCTCTACTGGAAGAGGCTTCTCAGGGAATTCGTGGCTGCCTCCTCCCTGGAAGTGTTCAGGGCCAGGTTGGATGGGTCTTTAAGTCACTTAGTCTAGTGGGAGGTGTCCCTGCCCATTGCACGGCGGGGGTAGAACTAGGTGATCTTTAAGGTCCCTTCCAGCCCAAACCATTCTATGATTCTATATTAAGCATTACATCCTCCACAGGTGGAATATCTAAAAGCACCAGATGAGAGAGTATTGGACTCTGATGCATATCGACCTTCATCCTCCTTGGACACATTTCAAATCCATACCAATTTCTCCTGTAGTAACTACCACTTAGATTCAGAAATACTGCCAAAGAAGAATTTGATATAGAATGCATTTTGCAGGAAACGAGAACAGAGTATGGCAGCTATATTCATAGCATTAAGTACCTTCTTATTAAAAAGATATGATGCACATCCTGCGAAACAGGGAGAAAAGTACTGGACTTCATCTGTGCCACAGACTGGGTAGTACATGGAACGCAAACATCCGCAGTTTGCATTGCATGGTGCTGTTAAATTATATGGTGTGCCTGTTCTGAAAGGCAAAAGTTAAAATTGTATTAAAATCTATTAAACCAGCAAATATTTAAAGAAATACTACATTATTTGTTTACCTTACAGATTTCAAAATATTCGTGTGTTTTATCAACGTAATTTAAAAAAACAAAACAGAACATGTTCCTAGTAGTTACAACTCTAGAGGGAATTCCCATTTATTCTGTAGCTAGTTATTTTTGTGCTATTATTACATCCATAGATTCTTCCAATTTCCATTCACAGAATAGATGACAAAATTCTGTGTCCCAACCCAATTCTTACATCTTCTCCTCTCTCCCACACAGTTATAACTTGAATTTGTTCAATTTAGTTTCAAGAAAAAAAGCAACAAGATTAAAAGCAGGGTTTAGTGGTGTTTATTATACTGATCATATTCTAAGTTGCTTCTCTGTTTTGAGTTCAAGTCCAGCTGCAAACTCACTGCATTTTTACTAGTTTTAACATTACTATATAGACATCTATATTGTTCTAGCACCAGGACAACTGCACATGTTAAATGCAGACTGCTATGACATACAAAGTTTTATTACACTCAAAAGAACCTTAAAGATTCTTTGGCTTTTTAGGGAATAATAATGAAAAATGGAGTTTAACTCTTGCATTCAATAGCTACTAACAATTCAGGCATTTACTTCCCATGTAGGCCACAGTATGGTTGTATTTGAAGTAATCTCACTATGTTATTATGAAAAATCAGTTTGGGACCTTATTAAGATTAAACAGAGTAAAAACACCCTTTGATTTTCTAGTAGTAGTGCAAGTAAAGAAGCTTCACAGGTTAAGTGTTCTGTCAGCTGAAACTAGGATACTGACACTGCCAGTAGCTTAAATATTCTACTGTAAACTGAAAGTTCCAGATTCATTACCTAAAAGGCAAGTTTCTTCAAGGGAATTTAAGATGGCCACAAACACTAAGGAGAAGTAATTTATCTAGGAAATAATTTGATTACTTACATAGCATTCAAACTGAGCATGGAATATCAGAAACATCATAACTGCCTATATACTTCATTTGGTTGTAGCATAGCTGAACCCTACTAATTTACATTAGCTCATTCTTCTTACATAGAAGAACCAAAGTTAGTTTATTCTGGCTTAAAACACTGCAGTCCACCATAATGAAATTCACTAATCACAGGTTTGTTCATGCAGTGCCTTGTTAGCCCATGAGGCATGTCCTATGTAGAAGTATGTAATCAATTCAAAGGCAACTTTTGTCCTGTTTACATGTGAAGACAATGTCTCTGTTCCCTGACCTTCAAAGAGGGACTGAATCTTTAGTTACACATGGTCAGAGAAATATTAAAATACATAAGAAATACAGTTTAATATACATAGGTTCTCATGAAATGGACTTCTTGTTCTAACATTTTTCTAAAGAAGCCTAGTAGATAAGGCCATTAAAATGGTCTTCAAATCTCTAAGTTGGGTATTTTTTCACACCAAAAAAGGAGTCCCAGAGACTTGTAGGAATGAACTGAACTACAGAAATAGTCACTGCATTACTATTCCTTCAAGTTTTCAAACAAATACTGGGCAAAAGAATTTGGCAATAACAATTCTTTGAAGTGTTTACTAGACAAAGTAAGCCATGTTAGTTCTGCTTATATCCTAATTCAGTAATAAACAATTACTACAAACAATACACTTCGTTCATTCACATATTAACACAAGTGATCCTGTACTCCTGTGGTTCTGGTACTAAACTTACAAAG